ACGTACAGTAAGTGTAGCCCATCCTAATGGCTTATCTTGATCTCAAGACCTTGTTGAAGAGTTCTCAGCGATTTGGTCCTTTACAGTGCGGAAACCCATTTCTACCTTGGTATCAAGAAATAACTCTATGAGTATTAATGTGTCTGAATATCAGCTTCAGTATCAGGTCATAACACACACACCAAGTATTTTCCATCCAGAATTTCTGCCTCCACTTTATCGCTAGATGTGGCCCTCTCTGCTTGAATGGACAGAACTGAGCAGATGAACACTAGTATGGTCCCTCCAATGCAACAGTAAAATGACCAGCCTAAAATAGAAATAACATTATTTGATAACGATTTTGATGTTGCCCTGGATTAAAACCACAGTTTAAATGGAAAGGTTAGTCATCCATTCATATTTTACATCCCTTGACTTGTACTTTAGTCCAATTAATAACATTGCATCTCCTTCTTGTAGATTTCAGCAGAAAGTGTGATCAACTGACAAACATACATGAAGACTACATGACCAGACTAAGAAAATTTCCACTTCTATTTTCAGCAGACCTGCTGAAGATTCTGAGAGGGAGACACAACATCATCAATTTTACTTAGTCTTAAATTAAATCCAGTAATAAAAATTTTCAAAATATTTATTCTTTAAAACTTTCAAGATTATGCTGCTTTTCTTTGGTTGAACATGTAAAGATAAACTGTATTATGAAATTCATGGTCACTATCCTCTTTGACAGACAATGTGACTTAATTCCTATGATCTAAATTCAATCTAAATATGTAAATTGTTACCAGTGCAATAAATATCTAAGAAAGAATTCTCAAATAATATAAAAATATTTACACTAAAACCCATACTTACAAAATTAATTCCATACTAAAATGTTAATTGAAATTTAACAAATAATTCATGTCATCTCATTCTCCACTCTTATTTCCAAGAAATATTTCATTCATCCACATATACAATTTTCACATGTTCCAAACAAAGCTAACATGTGAAAAACTGTAAAGATTTCACAACAACACACTGTGATTTACCTAATGAACAATCTCCCAGTTCAAAGGGTGCTGCAGTGTCTCCACACTCCCTACGTACCCTTGTGGACCCCCAACCAGCTGGATACAGGAGTATGGCCACTATCAAAAACAAGCCTAAAAGACGAAAAAAATATATATTTATCAATATAGCAACATTAGCTCTTCTTGTAGCTAATGAACCTATTTTAATATCAAACCCATAATGCAATTTATCCTCAAAAATGTTAAAGAGGTCTCTTGTTCTGAGGCAAGCTTTATCTTTTTCACCAGGGAGTCCATAACAAATTTAATAAATTCATTCTGTTCTGCACTGAGAACCCCATAGTCTTTATGTTCCTTCTTACACCCATTCTTCTATCTTCTTGCAAAGATATAACATACTAGTAATGCATATAATGTAAAGTCATGACAGGTGCTTGTCTTATGAGAGTAGCATACCTAAGTACATAATACATACTAATATGAAGTGCATGACAGACATAATAAGCATACAGCTATCTAGTATACAGAATTTTATTCATTTGACATAAACTACTACAACTAAGGAAAAAAGAACAGCAATCTCCTCAACAGTTGCATATTCACAATGAAATACATAATCTTGCTGCAACCACAGAATAATGTCACATCTTGTAACTGTCTGCAGACAGTACTTGCACCCAGTGACCCAAGAAATGTTATCAGGACATGTAAAATGGGCCCCTATCTTCAGGTCACCTCACATCCCAGCCATATCTTAACAGGCGTATTAAGATCAAAATCTGCAAGTGGCGCAATTAACTAGCTCAACAAATCTACTCAAAAGGCTGAGAAGGTTGTAAAATTTGATACTTATAATGCAGACAGCAAAAAATGCGGGTGCCTGTCTAGGGTCAGATGCATACAAGGGAATATTAAGTACCTTTCATTCACTATCTTTAAAAATAAAAATCCAAAAAGAAACATACATATCTTAAATAACAGCCCTAATATATTTTCCCCAAAATGTCTTCTAGCCTGTCCCTCCCCAAGAAAACCTGTGTTTTACACATGACCAACATGGCAGTACCTACAATACAACCTATATTCCAGCCGCTCCCCTTCCCCTTATAATACCTACCTGCAATACTCTGTATAAGTCCAGAGACAGTGAAAATACTCTTCTTACAGATTGCCCTCACACAGAGACTTAGTACAGCTGTAATCACTGTAAAGGTCAGCAAAGCCAGCCCCACACCATACATAAAGAGACAGGCTTTCCAGAAATGAGAAAACTGTTCTGAATCCATATCAAATCCTGCGCCTTCAATAAACGAAGCACAATTATCCACATATCTCCCCACCAAATGAAGCTTTGTGCAGCGTGTGTATATCCCTATTGACGACTGGAATGTTTCTTTACTTGTGCTGACCGAGGAGTCATTGGTCACTGGTTTAATGTCCACTACAGTCTGTGTCCCCATGATCCAGTATGGGGAGATGAGGGAGGACACCACTGCCATGGTGGCCACTAGGGTCAGTAGTGTCCATAACAGAGACCGAACTGTAATTATCACATAACACATCTTGGTAAGACTGGATACTATAAGCAAAATAAGTTCTGATTTGCTTCTTAATGTCCTATTTTTTTTGGATCCCAAGGTCTTCCACTGTTGTAGAAAACTGCTATGCGCCTTTCCTCATTGGAGTATATATGTTCATGTACAACAGGTTTGAGGGAACAATAGCATCACATTCTTCTTATCATCTGAAAAAATAAAAGTAGACCATGTTGACTGCTGAGAATTACATGTATATAAACAATCAGGGGCACAAGTAAAGGGCATGTGCTTACTAAATCTGCACTTTTCATCAAAAAAAATCAGTACTGTTTGATCCAAAGAAAACAATTACATCAAAATCCCATGATCTGCAAGTCAAGGATAAAGTGAATGCTGTCAGTTGCACCAAGGATGTTGGTTGCACCTAAGGTCTAATGAGTATATATTCGAGTTAGGATCATATCCATGTGTAAATTATTTAATAAAAAATCCCTGAAAATTGAACACATCAAACAGATTAGCTTTTTCCGAAAAATGAAGGTTCAGGAATCATTAGGTATTCAGTAACGAGAGTATCCATTTATCTATACACATCACGCACTCATGAGAATATTCTTGCTGGAAAACATCCTGTTATTTTTTAATCTGCCCTATGCCATAGATCTAAATTTTAGCAATCATTATCACAATACACAAGAAAGGCAACTCTGTGATGAAGTTATGCAAAATCTAGGGCTGAAACAATTCTCCCCCGAGGAAAGAATCATCACTCAGTTTTTCAATTTCAGGTCTAATAGCTCATTTCACTCCTTCAACATGCATCAATTTCGTAATGTCAGTAAAAATCAACTGACTCTCTTGTTTTTAACTATCATCCAGCCATCATCTTGGTCTGTGGTGAAACAGATAAGAGAGGACTTCTGCAAGGATTTTAATCTACAAGAAGTCTACAAGACCTCCACACACCACAAAAAGGAGGAATAAATAATAGAAGTGCCATGATGGAAAATGCAGCTTAAAGATAAGCTTCATTAGTAAGCGCCTCAAACAGAAAGGTTTTAGGTTGCTTTGCTTGAAACTATGTTTAGAAAGGATAGAACGAAAACCAAAACCTTATTGGCCTCTGAAGGAAGAAGACATGACTCAAGGCATCCTTTATTTAGTTTATTTTAATAATGCAGCTGCATTATATTTCAATGGTGGGAAGTTTCTGAGGACAACAATCTGCCTTTCTGTTCTTAACATATCTTTTTCTTTTTTCTTTTTTTTTTTCAACATTTTTTCTTTCTTTTTTTTTCCAACATTTTTTTTTCAACACATAAAGACAAAATTAACACATGTGCCCATCCAAACTCACCCCTACCCATCCCACTCACAAAAATACATTCAGGACGTTGGACACTTATACCACTATTAAAGTACTATGAACTTTCCTCAAATCACCTGACAACAACCAGACATGAAGAATGTCATATCCAAACACTCCACACCTCCTCTCAACTCAATCATGATGATTAATTGGAACCTACACCCAATGTTTTCATTAAAAAAAAACAGACTGAGCTATCTAATTACTGGTACACTCATCTACCAAACACTGACAGGTTAGCTAAGTATTCCTATGAACTTCACACAGGCCAAGTCTGATATATCTCTTATTATACATTAACATGTCAACTGGCAAGTGCCGATTACACGGACTCGATGAGAGGTGAACACATATCTTGTCACATTTACAAAAGATGATATGTACAAGCTCGTCCTCTCTTAAATACCAAACTTCTGGATTATTTACACAGTTAGAGACTAAATTGTTACTTCTGAAATGGTGAACACAAAAAAATGTCATGCGTATTCAATAAAAAGTACACTACCTGTAGTATGCTCACAATTTCCCAGCCTGCCCACCAACTTTCAAGCCCACCACCAAGAACT